GTCCCGTTGTCTGGGTCGGATCCGTATCCAGTGTACTGCAGGGATGCTATGGCTATCTCGCTGGCTGATCACCTGTCGATGTCGGACACTGCAGTTGGTCGGCCTCAGCCGAAGGCTCCTGTCGTTCCTCTTCCGAGCGAGTTCGCCGGATGAAACTGGGTGCTCGGTAATCGTGGTCCTTGAGGCACACTGAGCACGGAGGTTGGGGCAAGTAGGGAGCGAGCGCCTGCCAGGGGGTGATGGTCGGGGAATGAAAGGGCAAAAAATGTGGTGATAGGGAGGGAATTCGGTTTCCAGAATAATAATTCCGGGTTCCGCAACGATGTGACATGTATATGAGTTGGGGCAGCTGGGGAGGTGGGGGACACGTTCCAATGCCCGACCAATATCCCACTCGCAAATACGTTCGTTCCCTGTTGAGTATGGAAATTCCGGAGGTTCCGCCCTCGATCGTGCAGACAAACACACATGCTCCCAATACTCTTGGAATTCACGATCCTTCAGCCACTCACGGTCAGTGATGCGAAAGGGGATTTCAATATTCATACTGAGGTGTGGGGCGGAAGTCCAAGCATTCGGAGAGCTTGGCCGAGTACGGATCTTGCAGACGCGCATATAAGTGAGGACCTTCTTCGGCTGGGCTTACACGTGCGTGCACAAGATTTGTTCGTCGGTCAGGCAGATAAATGTTAGCAGCTCACAACCTATATGTACAGGCACGCGAGCTCGAAGATGGATAATCATATCATGAGACATATATCTAATCACCTAGCATGCTTATCCAGTTCTTATTCAGATAGAAGAACGCCAAACATCCATGCATCCGATTTCAAACATACACATGAAAAAAAGAGACGACGAACACTTGTGCATCAATCCCTCAGCCACTGGTCAGAGAACATATCTGATCCGATCGTAGATGACCAATCAGTCAAATTGTCAATTCACAGGGAGGAGAGAAGCGGGAGGAGAAAATCGCCCATCAATTCTTAAAGAAAAAACAAAGGAAAAGTCCGAGAGGTCGATCCAAAAACAAGGGCGACTCGCGCCGGATATCAAAATTGCTCCGAAGAATCGAAGAAAAGCACCATTCCAACACACCCCGTCTCTGTTTCTCTCTCTCTCTTCACACCCTCCCAATGAGGGCAGTCCGTAGCCGCGCACCCACACAGAGTTGTCACCCCACTGAGTCTGAACATGCAAGCCAGGTTCACCGATGTGCCAAAGTTCATCCCGGCCACACGTAAACCCCGCATACCCAACACCAGCTCGCCGGATTGCCCAACTCTCTACTCACCTTCCCACTCTTGCTCGTTAGCCGATCCTCTCGACCACACCAACTCCAAAACTCATAGAGAGCGGGCTAATCGCGCTTGCAAAATTTATAACATGAATGTTTGTGCGGGATACCCGGGATTGTGCTTGAGCGGGAGGGAAGGAGGAGGGAAGTGGCTACGACTGCATGGCCAGGCCGCGGCGTGGGGGACGTAGCCACACTCCAAACATTGATCCAGTCATGCAATCGTTCCGACCAATAGCACAAGGGAAAAGTATGTGTGCTCAAGTGCGCAACGAAGATATCAAGAAAGAGAGGATTATTGTTACATTGACGCCCGCCAAGAAAAGAATTACAGTTACAAGTAAGATTAAGGCGCGGCTTTTCTCGTCTACCCCCCCCATCTCTCTCTCTCTCCGACTTGTATAACGATTTGTTGTGGGTTTGTCTCTCTTGTAACCCAAAGTGAACTCTCGTGATTTCCTGCGAAGAAGAACTTCTTCCGGAACTCTTCCATTAGTTTCCTGGGTAATCCCCAAATGTCGAGAACTTAATCCTCTTGTCTTGTGAACGGTGGATGCGTGTGTACAATCCCTCGGTTGATTTCTGACCTGTGCACCCTTGTCATTTTCGCACCTTCCACAGTGGATGTATGTATAGAAATGCTTGTATTTCTGCGATTGATTAGACCCAACGCTCGACGGGATTTTGTTCGAGAATGCAAGAGTGTTTAGATCTGTGGTTCTGAATGCACTGCGCATGTCATCTGCCTTATGCTGCACGACATCAACAGACAGTCTGTGAGGCAGCTTTGAAAAAGCTAGGCGCCTCGTGTTTTTGTTGATCTGATCTGCTGAAACTGAGTCGCACGTTGATCCCTCGGAACTCCAATCCAATTAATGCATGAGATGCTCCTCCCGTGTCCAAAGGAAAAGAGATACTAATTAGTTCTTCTTCGATCGTGCTTTTTGATGAGGTCTCAAGGATTTGTGTAAACTTCGTTTGATTGCTTGATATGTGGACTAACGGTCGTTCCTCGATCGGGCGCCAGCCTTCCGTATCTCCCTCGCCGACGCACCACTTCCCTTACAAGGAGGAAAGGACACGTGTATGCGAGTGGGACGTACGAGAAGCTGTTGCATGGATCGGTGGACAATATTACTTCCCTCCTGAAAATCGTTGTTCCGGGTTCGTGGATGCGGGCTTTGTCATCATCGATACGCACTTCCCACCCCTACTCTATATTGTTGCCATTTAACGAGCTGATCGTCATTCCGTAGACGGCAGTGGCGCCCCATTGGCCTCAAACCCCTTTGCACTGAGTGCCAACGTTTCGATCGCTACAAATCGAAGGGCTTCCACTACCGGATACGGAGTGAAGACGAGCACAAGGAAAAAGCCACGCGACTGAGACCATCCACGTCAGACTCGGAACTGACCAACGAGCGACGTCGGGACTTGATACGGAAACGGGATACGCGAAGTGTACCGAAGCCCTTCCGCTCTAAACGAAGATCCGTAGCACGGTGGGAAGCTCGGCAATACTTTTTGGATTGAATTTGGATTTTTCTCTTTTCGCGTCGTGCCCGCGCGCGCATTTCGCGATGCGCGAAAGCAACCGACTTACGTCATTGGGCCAACACGGGGGATTTCAGTTTTGTCTGTGTTCCCACACTCAATTTTCCAAAAATCCTTGGCACACCCCATCTTGCTGTTTTTGTGGGCCTTCATTCCGCACCTTTAGCACTCCGAATGAAAGACAGCACATGGCGTGAGGTTGGTATCGGAGTCGACAAGTGTCGGTTCTAATGATAGTAAGTCGAGCTGGCGAAAGGTAGAAGGAGTCCTCAACCTGCTCGTCGAGATCTCCCAGTGACCAGATCTAGATCTGGTGCGGCTAGACAGGTCATGCCAATGGGAAACCGTAACGTAGCTCCCAGCAGGGTGATTGTTAGTATTCCCGCCCCTTTTCCTTTCTTTCCTAATCACACCCACCCCGAAGCTTGGTTGGAAGTCGTCAAAGCTCAAGGGTATGGCGCGGGAGATCTCTCCCGCATCCTCACCTTGCTGCTTCGTAACACAGCGCATGATTGGCTTAGGAAACACACATTGGTAGACTGGAACACCTTTAAGCAAGCCTTCCTGGTCCGATTTGATACGGTCAGTGAAGCTGCCGCCTGATATATGCTCAAGACTCGACTGCAAGCACTAGTAGAATTGCTGCCTGACTTCGTGGATCGATTCCAAACTACGTTAGACAAATCGGGGCTTGATGAAAAGTCCACCCGAGATTTGTTCATCGATCATCTACGAAGTCCAACTTTAAAAGGTAAGCTGCAGAAAAAGGTCCCCCCTAAAATGCACCAGCTATCTGCTATCATCGCTAAGGCACTTGAGTTAGACCTGACGGATACCAAGAAATATATCAGTCAGGGAGACGAAGACATTACGGACATGATTCAGGATGTAGCGGCGAAACGACGATCGTGGTTGCGAGCAGTGGAACGATTCTACCTTCGGCCTGATTATGACCTTCCCGGGGGGGCTGCCTCCGATATTCCGCCAGTTCCTTCTCCCCCTCCTCCGACTCTCTTAACGGATCAACAGGTAGCAACGGTTAGACCCAAAAACTCCCAAGATTCCTCCCCTATGGCCATAACAAACATATACTTGGCACATATGATCCATACAGCTACCACCAAACAATCAGAATGGATGAGCAACCTGGTCCAAATGCAGGCAGCTCACATGGATCGATTGGAACAGATAATGAGCAGATTAATTAAGCCCAACCCGGCTCCTGATCGGCCTGCCCCTGCATCGTTCCCACTTATGCCTGCTCCGACTGCACCCGGACATGCACAGCAGTTCCTTCACACAGCCAACCTGGCAGGGAAAATCGAGTGTTACAATTGCAAACAGGCCGGGCATTTTGCACGGGACTGTCCGCAGCTGAAACGAAATCAACCCCCACCTGCTGCAGCCCCCGTAGCTCTGAATCAAGGACGAGTAGTCGCACTAATGGATACGGCCCGAAGCGAGGAGATCGTTGCGTACGCCCCTAAGCTCCCTTCCCCCTCGTTGGATACGGCCTGATGCTGCTGACGTGGTCGATCCGCTCGACTACCTTCATCTCGTTGGAGTGATCGGAGCAATCCGACCAGCTCAGGACGATCTTGAATGGGTCGAGCGCGAATCTAACCCCGGACCACAGTTTCGGACGGGCGAAAAAACACTTAAGCAGCTGGACATTCGCGTTCCCGTCCCAGTGGGGCATTTGCTCACCGTACCCGAAGCAGCGAATGATAAGCTGCTGCAACAATGTCAGAAGAATCAAAAGCGCTTTGCATACCAGCGCATACAACGAATGTTGAAAAAAAAGAAGGAAGACGGAGCGGAGGATGTGGCACTGCCCGAACCCGAAGTCGTTGAACCCGAAGCAGCGCGAGTAGCTAAGATTTCTTAGCAGAGAAAGATCATTTTGTGCGAGCTCGACTAGTATTGTGGAAAAGCGTGAAATTTGATTGTGAAGTATGGGGCAAATCTTTTAACGCTCTCATCGATACCGGCTTGTCTGCGGTCGCTATATCATTGGACACGGTGAAAAGAACGGGACGATTGAACTCGATTCTCCCTCAATTTGGCAAAGATCATTACGTCTCTGCCGACGAGGAAGCAATGAATATTGTAGGAGTCATCGAGAATGTGGCCGTGAAAGTTGAACGAGTACACGTCCTCGTTAACGCTCTAGTCATAGATGTGCACTCATATTCGGTATCGTTAGGACTACCTTGGGCAATGGCGGTAGGTGCTCGCCCGCATTTTGATTCCAAACAGTTGGTGCTCACACAAACAGGAGGGAAACCTCAGACAGTTCTGTTGCGGGTTTCAACCCGAATAGTAAAAAGGAATCCTAACCCTACTCGGATAGGGATGATTCAAGGTCCCGATCACGATGAATTTTCATCCTCGGATAATAGTAGCGGATTAGAAGAACAGGAGTGCGAAGAAGAGATGCCTAGCGAGAGTGAATGGAAACACTTGGTCGAACTTTTCGAGCACGAAACCCCCGAGGAATTTCGGATGGTTCCCAGAGCCGCCCGAACCTTCCATTTGAGTCTGGAAGACAGCGCGCTCACGCCTATGGAAACCCAGGTCAGTCCCTCGACCTTTCTCGGAGAACCCATCTTGAAAATATCTGACCTGGCAGACGATTTGGAACCCTCTCGCACTTTATACGAGGATACACTTTTCCTTCGAGCACGCTATCAGCAGGCGAAACCGCACCTGGATGTGTCTGTTTCCCCTCCAAGGTAACTGCTTACGACAGGAGCGACTGTTGCTCTTATTAAACAAGAAGCCGAAACTCCTGTCGACGATGTGCCAGATCTGATGCAGGAAATGACGGATTTAACAGGACCAAACCGTTGTGAATATTCCATCCTTTTAGTTTTAATAGACCATTTTTCCAAATACATCGAGGTATACCCCTGCAATTCAAACCGACAATGGGTCCGAATTCAAAGGCGACAGATAGCCACGTACATCGATTGGTTTCTCTATACTCACCTAGATACGGAAGAAATTCTGACCGACAATGGGTCCGAATTCAAAGGCGAGGTAGAGGAATTGCTCGCATGACGAGGCATTACGCTTCGACACACGACACCCCACGTTTCCCAGTCGAACGGGTTGGCTGAAAATGCCAATCGCATGATTAAGACTGCCCTTCTTAGAAATTTAGCGGCGCGTGACACGCGTCCTTGGCCCGAGATCGTATACCAAATTGTTGGAATTCTGGTGGCCACCCCTCATGAATCCACGGGGTTCAACCCCTTCCAGCTTCGTACCAATAGCCTCCCATGCGTCGATTACCGGGGCAACTCGGAAATTGCAGAAGTCGGCGGTAGAGACACTCGTGCCGCCCTTAAGGCCAATGCCAAAAGGTATGCCGATTTCATGGAAAGGGTCGTTCCGAAGCTAGCCAGAAAAAGACAAAAAATGACTTATCTAGCCCACGGAAGGCAAATCCGTAGCTACGAGGCCCGAAATGGGAAAGCCGGTCCCCAACATCAATATAAATTAGGGGACCTGGTACAGGTACGTAAATGTGCACGCGACCGGAAACTCACTCCCAAGTTCTCTGTCTGTTTCCGCGTTGTCGAGCTCGGACCCAACGGTGCTAACACGGTGCGCATCACGCCCGAGGCAAGCGCCAACCATAGCTCTGTCCCCATCGTCCGACATATCTCTTACATCCGTCTCCTCCCTCCTTCTGATCTTCCTCCGTCTCCGTCTTCTGCTGAAAACCAGGACGGTGACGATCTAGCTCTCGCCTCGTCCTCCCCTTCCTGCTCCCATCTCTCATCTTCTCCCCCGACCTCGCCATGAGTTTCATCACGGAGCAAGCCCTTGGCGATCATCTACTGCATCCACGTGGCTACATCTTTGAGATCCGGCAATTTCGTCATCCGCGGCTTAGTCCTGATCTTCGAAGAGTGGCGCAGTTCTTCTGCACCGAGGGAGTGCGTGCAGCTGCTCCGTTCCGATTCGTCGGGAGTCAGCAGGCAGTAGTATTGGCGGAAGTGGTGGCACTTCATCGACGAGCGACTCTAGGAACGAGCCACGTCACCACGGTCGCTGCCTTCAGCGGCGACATCAGCACAGTCAGCCCACTTCGGCATACCGCGATCTTGACCTCTTTACGAGAGTGGATGCATCAGTTGTCGGTTGAGTGGCAACACGGTCTTGCGCGTCCGGGGAACAATCTAATCCTGACGTTCGGGACTGACTTCGACGGGATTCGCACCTCTCTGCGCCAGCCGGCGGTCGTGCTCCCCACCCTCATCCCCTTCCAACGCCCCCAATGAACCGCGCCGCTCCTCTCGCCCCTCTCTCCACCTTTGGTCTCCCTTCTCTTTTTCCCACCTTCTGGCAATCCGATCTCCATCCTCGTCTTTATTTCCTGTTCAAGCCTCTTGTCGTCCTGCTTCTTGATCCTCGGCATTGGCAGGTGTGGCGCGAGACCTTTGTCGATCTGTCTGTGTGCTTGGCCCGAGTACAGGTGACGTGGACGAGGACCAGTGAGTATCCAGTGTGCATCGAGTACCTGGAGCTGTTGATCCTACAGGCTTGGAGAACGGACGTGGAAGGTGATCTTCTTCGTTTCCTCTTCGGATCGGTGCGGCCAGGCCATCGCCAACCAATTACTCAAGAACTCGTTGTCCCGCTCGCGCAACTGGCTGACGATCTCTCCCTCGACATCGTTTCGCAAAGCGACGACAGCCCCGCTTCGCACGTCATCACGCGGACATTAGCGCCGTATCTTCAGTGGACTGCATGCTTGGAAGAACCCGGGAGTGACAACACTCTGCCATCGCGGCAGGAATACTTGAAGCCGTACGGGATCATCGATCGCGCCTTCTATCCGAAGGAAGAACCTGAGGAGGCGCTTGAAGGGGAAAAAGAAGCCACTGAAGAACAGGGTGACGCCGACAAAGAAACGTCGGAGGAGGGAAGTTATAGCGAGTACAGTGAAGGGGAGCCTAGTGAAGAAGAGGAGGAGATAGAAGAAGAAGAGGAGGAAGCCGGATCGGGGTGGGAGGATTTGCCGGAAGAAGTGGCGTGCACAGGCACCGAGGCGGAAGATCCCGACGCGGCACGTAGAAGAGAAGAGATCGCCGCCAGGAAAAGCCAGTTGGAGTTCGCCAGCGGGGCGAGCCTGCGCATCAACGACGACCCAACCAAGATTCCAGAGCCCCCGATCCCGAAGATGGCGGATCAGCAACCCCGGCTTCGAGCGCATCGCGACGGAGACAGAGCCGATCCCCTCCCCCTCCACCCCAGCCCGTCCCCCAGTTCGTCCACTTACTGATGCGGGGAATCGGCCTTCGTCCCCGGTCATTATCCCACCGTCCCCTTGATTACCTCACCCTCTGCCAGATCTCTACCCCCGTCACCTTCCCGCGCAACCCCCTTCCTCCCCATACCTTCCGTCACTTTTACTCCACCCATCTTGCCGTCACCGTTCATCCCCACCCTTCCCTTCAATCCGCAAACCCCACGTTCTGTTTACATGTCCTCTTATTCAGTGTCCCGTGGGAACAAAGTATCGCAGTAGAAGTCTACTACGTAATCACAGGAACCATCCCCGCGTGTCGCCATCACGAGCTGTTCCGTGCGGTGCTCTTCCGCACTTTCTCCACCCTTTACCCTGACTACCTCGCCTCCCTCCCTCACAACGGTGATCGGTTTCCCCGTTTTCACCGGATCATCCGCTACGAAGAGCTCCGGATCAAAGAGGAAGGGATGAACCATTACCTGCCCCCACTTCCCCCCAACCCTCTCCGTCGACACCCCCCCATGTATAATGTCTACTTTCCCATCCCCACACGACGTTGATACCCGCCACGTGTCCTCCGAGCAATACGAATCAGCAGTTTCGCGAAGATCACGCCAGTGACGATGACGTCAACTTATGCTCTGATTCGGTGGCCCGCGCTCGACAGGGGGTGCAGAGCACACGGAGATCTGATGGACCATGATGGTGCCACCTAGACAATCTCCGAAGTTCGAAGGATAGGGGGTTGCATATGACAGGACTACAGGGAACGAGATCCAAACAGCACGAGCCGGCATGCTTCACAGAGATTTTGCCACGGATGCTGTCGCCAGCTCATCGTGCTGATCCGAGCTCCTATTTCTTTCTGCCCTCGTTCCTTGTACTTCTTCCTGATTCTTCGTCTCTCCTATTCCCTTTGTTCGAGCTTTCATGCAATCAGGAGATCGCATAATTTTGGACCCTCCGCGCGTCACATATGTGACGAACCACTTCCCGACCCTGTGCTATTTTTCGTACCCCTTGATTCGATACCCCCTTTTTGTATCATACCGACCCCACAAAACCCCGTCGCTTTTCTTGATTTTAGGCGCCTTGTTTGGGCCCCCATTTTTCCCGGAAGTTTTATTGATTCTTGGAATTCTTCTTTTTGTAATTCGGGAAAGACACGGGAAATTGCGCGTGCCTTAGCGAGCGCACTGGGAATCGGTCTCGACAGTTACTAGGAATTATGGAATAAACGGAGCCCGACGTATCTTTTTCCTTGCATGAATGTTCTCGGTCACGTCGGAGAAAAATTTAGGAATTTCGTGAAAATACGGATAGGCATAGGAATTTCTTTTTCTGCGTCGACCTTCGCATGCGGATATGGTGATTTCAATTTTTGAATTGGTTTTGGGCATAGGAAAGCTGTAACTGTTTTGATGCCTTTTTCTCTTGTGGTCGACACCGCGCATGCGAGCTTCCTCCTCCTTATTTCCCGCGTCATCCTTCCCCCACACTCTCTCCTCTCTCCCTTCCCCCTCCTCTTCTTCTCCTATCGCAACTATTTTTTTCCCCTCTCTCCCTCTCTGCCTTTCGCGTGCCTGTTTCCCCTTCTTGATCATCTGAATCTTGGACCCGTCTCGCGCTGCTTTTCGTGCCTCGTCTCTTCTTGCTCTTCAACCTTGGCTTGCGAAGCCCGGTTGATCCTCCGCTTACCCCGGCTCACCAATCAGACGCGTTGAGTAAGAGGATCTCCCTACTGCGTGATGAATCAGATTGACCGACTATTGGGTTCTAAAGGATAAACATGGCTTCCCTTGAGCATCTTTCGCTGAACCTTCTCTCCTTGCACCTCGATCTCCTCTCTGGCTCTTCCCCCATCTATCTCCCTTCCCGCAATTTTAAATTCCGCAAGCGCGCCCGCAAATCTCTCTTAAGTTTCCCACTCGCAAGCCAGCTTCCGGGAAGCAGTGCCTAGGTGATGCGTTTGGTGCGAGTCGAAAAGTCTCGTCAGGCTGACTACGGTCTGGCCGGCTGCGGGCTTGATCGCCACGACGAACTGTGGGATCCGGGCGAGCCGAGTCGAGTCTGCGTCAGCGGGGTGACGATCGCAGTGGCGGAAGTTAGCACGCGACGACCGGGATCGTCGGTGCGGGTATGAGGATTTGTAATTGGAGTTGAGTGGATGATTGGCCTGGGGCCATATTGGAATTTCACGGCGAATGCGCCTTCATTGCGGACCATTTCTCTTGGTGTGAGTTCGGGGCTGCGAAGCCGAAGGTTTCCTTGTTGAATTCTCGTGTCTTTTGTCTCGGCTTTTCTCGTCTACCCCCCCCCATCTCTCTCTCTCGCCGACTTGTATAACGATTTGTTGTGGATTTGTCTCTCTTGTAACCCACAGTGAACTCTCGTGATTTCCTGCGAAGAAGAACTTCTTCCGGAACTCTTCCATTAGTTTCCTAGGTAATCCCCAGATGTCGAGAACTTAATCCTCTTGTCTTGTGAACGGTGGATGCGTGTGTACAATCCCTCGGTTGATTTCTGACATGTGCACCCTTGTCATTTTCGCACCTTCCACAGTGGATGTATGTATAAAAATGCTTGTATTTCTGCGATTGATTAGACCCAACGCTCGACGGGATTTTTTTCGAGAATGCAAGAGTGTTTAGGATTGTGGTTCTGAATGCACTGCGCATGCCATCTGCCTTATGCTGCACGACATCAACAGACAGTCTGTGAGGCAGCTTTGAAAAAGCTAGGCGCCTCGTGTTTTTGTTGATCTGATCTGCTGAAACTGAGTCGCGGGTTGATCCCTCGGAACTCCAACCCGATTAATGCATGAGATGCTCCTCCCGTGTCCAAAGGAAGAGAGATACTAATTAGTTCTTCTTCGATCGTGCTTTTTGATGACGTCCGGAGGATTTGTGTAAACTCCGTTTGATTGATTGATATGTGGACTAACAGTCGTTCCTCGATCGGGCGCCAGCCTTCCGTATCTCCCTCGCCGACGCGCCACTTCCCTTACAACGAGAAAAGGACACGTGTATGCAAGTGGGACGTACGAGAAGTTGTTGCATGGATCGGCAAACAATATTACTTCCCTCCTGAAAATCGTTGTTCCGGGTTCGTGGATGCGGGTTTTGTCATCATCGATACGCACTTCCCACCCTACTCAGTATTGTTGCCATTTAACGAGCTGATCGTCATTCCGTAGACGGCAGTAGCGCCCCATTGGCCTCGAACCCTGTGCACTGACTGCCTGCGTTTCGATCACTACGAATCAAAGGACTTCCACTACGGGATACGGAGTGAAGACGAGCACAAGGAAAAAGCCACGCGACTGAGACCATCCACGTCAGACTCGGAACTGACCAACGAGCGACGTCGGACTTGATACGGAAACGGGATACGCGGAGTGTACCAAAGCCCTTCCGCTCTTAACGAAGATCCGTAGCGCGGTGGGAAGCTCGACAGTACTTTTTGGATTGAATTTGGATTTTTCTCTTTTTGCGTCGTGCCTGCGCGCGCATTCCGCGACGCGCGAAAGCAACCGACTTACGTCATCGGGCCAACACGGGGGATTTCAGTTCTGTCTGTGTTCCCACACTCAATTTTCCAAAAATCCTTGGCACACCCCATCTTGCTGTTTTTCTTGGCCTTCATTCCGCACCTTTAGCACTCCGAACGAAAGACAGCACAGGGCGTGAGGTTGCACGTCACAGGCATCCATGCAATTCGACGGGCCCCTCTCGATCATCCCCCGAAGTAGCCTTGCGCTGAAAGTCGCGCGGTTGCAGAAAACAGTTCATCACAGGGAGGTTTCATAACTTTTCCCGTAAACCTTTTCATGGTCTACATGTCATTTACTGTATGTTTTTGTTCCCGGTGTCTGTGGGGCATCAAGCACCAAGCCGAATGGCCTAGTGCCCTTGGACACTAGTCCATCTAGCCTTCCTTATCCAGAGACAGTGGGTGGGTCAAACACAGTTTTTTCGGACTATACGCTGCCTCTGGGCGGTGCTTTCCTGCTGGTTCAGCTTTTTTTTTTTTTTTTTTTTTTTAAGAAAAACGTCCCCCTCTGAGTCAGTGTTATGGTGCTGATAAGATCAGACACCACTAGCACATGGGGGGGCGGCTCCATCTATTAGTGGGGAGCATTACCTGCTGGAAAACAGGTCCAGCGTCCCATATACAAAATGAATGAAACATCTCAGGAAAAAGGTGTAGAATGTTCCTGCCAGCATTGATTACCCTGGAATCCAGGGGATTGACTGAGTAGGAAATTAGAAAGAGGGGGGGAGAATCTCTTCACCCGAAAAGAGGCGCCAAATACTAACTGTTACACACTAATTCTTCTCCCCCCTACATTGATTACTCTGGTAACGTGAGTGTTGAACGGAGCAAAATATCATAAATACCAGAAAAGGCAACACAAGGATGGAACTCTCTTTAAGTGCCTGCATACCAAGTGGTGTCGACCATTGAGCTTGCTGTTTTCTGCCCTTCACCTTTGTTTTTATGGATTGACAAAACTATGGGGCAAGTACGTTGGAGTCACATCTAATGTTCAAATTCTTCAGAATTGGCAACTTCCGCAGTCCCCGAAGTGGAGTGAAAAAGCTGACCCGAGGCGCAGTTTTAGACCCCCGCTAAACTTGCACATTTTGAAACTCACGCCATGACACCGGCACCACTTTGTCTTTTCTTGCCTATTTCAAACTAAAAGTGTGGGCATCCTTAGACACTCCTCGGGGACGTGAAATCCACAAGGAAGCGCTCATTCCACCTGTCCTTGGGGACGAAATCGAAAAAGAAATGTGAAAACACCACAAGGAAAATTCCTTGTGGCATCCTTGTGGCCCCAGCCAAAATTTCCTTATCTCCAAGGGACATCGGGACCTCGTGAGGTCCCTTGGAGCTCAACTTGAAAGGAACTGTGATTCAGGGAGTGGGGAAGACATGCGTTGATGGAGAGTTTTGGTTCTTGGGTGGTCCAGATGTGGTCCAGCGGCGTTAGCACGGACATCCCCGCCCTCCAACGTCTGCGTAGTCCCCCAGCGTCCCCCAACAGCTACTGTTGGCGGTGGGCCTCCATCGGGTGGCGTTGTCGTTTTCGACCGGCATCATCCGGTCTAGCGCGCTCAAGGAACGTATGC